GATAAATGTTTGCAGAAATTTCTAATAAGAGATTATAACTCCGTTTTACAGGTTCTAATGCTGGGAATCTGTATTAAGGCTTATATAAAGTTTTTCCTGTGAACAGTAAGTGATACATAAAAGCAGACTTTCTTTTCTAGTTTGACTTAGATTTCTCTATAAATTTAGTTCTTAATCTTTAAAGATGAGCTTCTAAGCTTAAAATTTTAAAACAGCACTTCATTATGTTGGTGTAATTGTGTCAGATTGTAAGCAGTCATTTCTTCTGTCAGGTTTTATAATTTTCCTTTTAACAGACAGTACATTCCATTTTCCTTCTTATAGCTAAAGAAGGGAGAAAGGAATGTCTAAAAACGAAATTCCTTGTCCTAGAGAAACCTAGAGAGACAGGATATGCTAATAAAATTTCAAATGCTAGCACAATTTTACAATAGAATTGGTCTTTTTAAAAAGACTAATAAAATGAATGGTTGTCATGCTCACTATGAAAAATAAATCTAAGTGACTGAAATTTACAGAAATAAAAATTAGCAAACAATTATTTTAGAGATGTTTTCAAATTTTACTTCATTTTTTTGAAATAACTTATATGGTATGTAATTGCATTTCGTATTGCTAACAACTAATAGAACTTTTGTCATTTTCTTACATTTTTAAAAAATGTGAACTTATTAGAATTCATTCCTATGGCCTTACAGATGGGTTTTTATTTTGTTTGCAGCAGTTCCTTTAATTCAAAATATCATAACTCTTTGACTAAAATCATGCCCCATAATGAAAAATACCTAGTTTTTCCATAGAATTTCCCACTGCATATGTTTTGGTGATTTTATTTTTGTTCCAACGGCTTAATGTGAAAAGCTCATGCAGATAAAGTGGGCCTGTCATGTGGTTAGTCTTGTTTAAGCCAATTCATTAACTGTGTACTGATACTATTGCTGTGTTTTTATTGTTTTTTAAGTGGATTTTACTCCAGGTGAACTTTTTTTTTTTTATAATAATGTTCGTCTAAAATAAAAACTACATACTGAAAATATTCATGACTCTCCGAAATGGGTTGCAGATTTTGAAAATCTTTCTTCAAATTTATAAGTGGGTGACTCAAACCATGGCCGACTTGGGATATTTTAGCAAACTTTCTGAATTAGAGGTGTTTAAAATGGCCAGATCGCCTGCTCATACTTAGTTCAGAACACATTGAGATTATTCTGTGATGGCACTTCAGCCCTCCCTTCCTAGTTCTTGCAAGTTTACTTTTTATTGTTTTGTTTTCATTTCCAAATAACTCTGTTCAAGGGCCCAGCTCTACCCATATTCCACCACATGCTTGTGCGCGTCCCCAGTCATAGCCTTTCCTGCTCCTCCCCACCACCACTCCAGACCTTCATTATTCTTCTCACACCCTCTGCTTCTTTCCTTTCCCTCTGGTAGACCCACCTCTCCTCTCCTGCCTCACAGGAAGGCATCTTCTAAAACCACCTTAATTGCCTCTCCCTCCTCAGCTCCATGGTCAGCCGCCCTCATCCTCAGCTCCCTCCTCTTGTAGCAGAGGCATTCCTCCCAGTCCATGCTTTCCCTCTGCCTCTTCTCTGGATTTATCCCGCCTGCCCCTTTATCCTGCTTCTCAGGGAACTCACTGCTCTTCTACCTTCAAATGCTTATCCTGTGTGAGCCCTTTCCTCTTAGTATCTAAGCATCCTTAACTCTCCCACCCCTTTGCTTTATGTCCTTCTCACCTATTGCTCTTTCTCCTCTTCTTGCCATAGCTAAGCTTCACCCAAGGGCTGCCTATGCATACTGTCTTCACTTTTTCACTTTGCATTTATTCCTCAGCCTACTCCAGTTTGGCTTCCTCCCTATCACCTCACAGACATCATATTTATAACGGCCTACTTGCAAAAGTAGCTGGCTGTTTTCTGTCCTTCTCTTAACTAACTTGCCAGCATTTGATGAGTATATTGCTCCCTCCCAGAAATGTTCTTTTCTCTTAGTTTCTGTGACAATCTTCCCCACTTTTCCAAAATAATTTCATCTTTTTTCACAGCTCTTAAATTTGTTTCTGTGGTAGACTGAATAATGGCCCCCAAAAGACATCCATTCTAACCTCCCAAACCTGTGAATGTTACTTCATTTGCAGATGTGATCTTGAGATAGGAAATTATCTTGAATTATCCAAGAGGGCCCTCTGTAATACCAAGGGTCTTTAGGAGAGGGGCATAGGAGGAGTCGGAATTAAAAAGTAATGATGTGATGACAGGAACAGGGAGAAAAGGTGTGATGCAGGACTATGAGTCCCACTAAAGCAAGATTACCTAGCAAGACCATAAAGTTTCCCAGACAAGAAAAAGCTAAATAAGTTCATCACCGCCAAACCAATATTATAAGAAACTAGAGGCCTGGTACACAAATTAGTATACCATTCGGGTCCCTCATCCTGGCCTGGGTAATTGGGCCAAAACCGGCTCTCCAGCTCCCCCAAGGGGTCTCAGATTGAAAGAGGGAGGAGCAGGCCAGTGCACAATCGGGGCCAAGGGAGTCACAGGAGGTTGGCCAGCCGGGGAAGGACTGCGTGAGGGCTCCAGGGCGTGTCTGGCCATCTCACTCAGTCCCAATCATCTGGACCCCAGCAGCAAGCTAATCTACCAGTCAAGCGTCTGCCCCTTGGTGGTCCATGCACATCATTGTGACTAATCAAAGAGTTGACTGCCCCCTGGTGGTCAGTGCATATCATAACAAGCTAGAGGTTGAGCATCTCTAGCATACATTAGCATATTATGCTTTGATTGGTTGGATGGCCAACCAGTCAACTGGACACTTAGCATATTAGACTTTTATTATATAGGATGTTCAAGTGGCTGCTTTGAGAAGAAGAAAAAATAAAAAATATGAATAAAAATATTGCTAAGAAAATAATTCTCACTGACAAAAGCAAACACATAATAAAAGCAATGAGTCAACCAACACTAAGGCCAGTAGAAAGGCTCAAAGGCAAAAGTAGGAAAGGAAGATCATGTTTAATTACAACAGTAAATTAAGGGATACACACAAACACAAGAAAAACAAACATACTGGTAAATGTGCAGGGGGTGAGTAAAAATGGTAGTGATTTTAGAGTGTGTTCAAACTTAAGCAACTATCAACTTAAAATAAACTGCTATAAACATAGCTTGGTATATATGAAGCACATGGTAACCACAAACCAAAATCTACAAGAAATAAAGAAAAAGGAATCCAAATAAGACTATAGAAAGTCATCAAGAAAAAAGAGCATGCCGAAGCCGGTTTGGCTCAGTGGATGGAGCATTGGCCTGGGGATTCAATTCTGTGAAGGGCATGTACCTTGGTTGCGGGCACATCCCCAGCAAGGGGTGTGCAGAAGGCAGCTGATAGATGTTTCTCTCTCATTGATGTTTCTAACTCTCTATCCCTCTCTCTTCCTCTCTGTAAAAAAAAAAATCAATAAAATATATATTTAAAAAAATAGAAGAGCAGGAGAATAAGAAAGGGACAGAGCCCTAGCCAGTTTTGCTCAGTGGATAGAATGTCAGCCTGAAGAATCCCAGGTTCAATTCTGGTCAAAGGCACATGCTCAATCCCCAGTAGGGGGCATGCAGGAGGCAGCCAATCAATGATTTTCATCATTGATGTTTCTCTTTTTCCCTTCTCTGAAATCCATAAAAAAAAAAAAAAAAATTAAGAAAGGAGCAGAGAATTACCAAAAAAAATCAATCAGAAAACCAAAAAAATGGCAATAACTACATACTTATAAATAATTACTTTAAGGACAAAGTGCTCTAATCAAAAGGTATTATTATTAATATTCACATTAAACATGGAGAAAAATCTTAGATATGAATGATCAGAAAACATAACCTTCTGGTTTTAATGTTTAAATCTCTCAGAAATTGTTAAATTAATATAAAATAACAAATGTTTGTAAGTTCCACTTTTTAAATTATTTCATTAATCGAACAGATATACTAGGTGCTGAGGAAATAAAAAAAGAACAAAACAAAACCCCCGCCCCTCCAAAAGTTTATTTTTAAGGGTGGATACCAATGCGCAAGTAAAAACAGAGCAAGGAGATACTGCCCTTACTATAGAGTGATCAGAGAATGCCCTTAAAAACAACTTTTTTGAAGACTGTGTGGGGTTGGGAAACAAATCAGCTGGCCAGCACACCTCCGAGAAGGACAGCATGTTCCACCACTATTTCATCCTTTTACTTATCATCTGGGTCACCGCTATCCAACTTGGGTTTTATATATGAGTGATGAAGCACGAAGTTCCCGCAACTATGCAAATAAAAAAAATTTTGCTTTAAAAAATTCCTTTATTTAGAAATGGAATCCTGTCTTTGTCGGGTACTGTTTTATTTTAGTTGATCTGGAATGTTACCCGGCTCTGGCCCCAAAGGGGACGGGGACCTCTCCTGTCAGCCTTACAGCAGCCGGCACCATTGGACTGATCTCTGTGTACCTGTAGCGAAACCTAAGGGGGCGCTACAGCTCCGGCACTAAAGTCGCCCTCAATGCAGCTTGGGGCCCAGGTGGGCGGTAGAGGATGGGTGAGACCAAAGCCGGGCGTTTAGGACCGCGCCCCTACCCCTGCCTCCCTTCCCTCCCTGTTCGCCCCGCCCCTCCCCATCCTCTCCGCCCCGCCCCTCCGCCACACCACGCCCCTCCCCTCTCCCCCTCCGCCTCGCCCTCTCCCCACTCGCCCCGCCCCATCCCCACTCGCCCCGCCCCTCCCCTTATCCCGGCACCCCCACTGCAGCCCAGCCCGCGCTTCGCCCCGCCCCTCAGCCCCTCAGCCCCGCCCCATTCCTCTCCGCCCGCCCCCACCCTACCGCACCCCATCCCCTCACCCCTCTCCGCCCCGCCCCTCCTCTCCGCCCCGCCCCGCCCGCCCCGCCCCTCCGCCCCCGCCCCGCCCAGCGCTCCGCTCAGCTGCGCCCCAAGCTCCCCGCGTCTGTGCCGGGCTCGGCGGACGCGGTCGCCATGACGGCGGCCGTGTTCTTCGGCTGCGCCTTCATTGCCTTCGGGCCGGCGCTCGCCCTCTACGTCTTCACCATCGCCACGGACCCGCTGCGCATCATCTTTCTCATCGTCGGGTGAGGCGGTTGCGCTGGGAAACCCGGAACCGGGGCTCCCCTGTCCCCGGGGGTGTTCCGACCCCAGGCTTCCCCGCCGTAGGGCTCGACCTTGTTGGGCTTTGGAAGGGACCAGGGTTGGGACGGGGAGAGCCGAGACCCGCTCCTCCGGACGCCTCGCCCGGCGGGAAAGGCACGGGAACCCGCCGCCGCAGAGGGCAGGCTCTGGGGAAGGAGCGCACCTGTGGGTCTCAAAAACCCTGAGCCTCGGCTCCTGAGTTTCCGCTTAGGGTCCGTGGGTGGGCTGTGGTGAGTCCTGAAACCACCTAAATTGCATGAAAAAAAAAATGTGGATACGTTCAAGTACGCATCTTTTATTTTTCTGCAGGGTGGGGGGGTCCCAAGGTAACTTCAGATTTTGTAATCCGAAAGGGGTTAAGAGCATGGGCATCTGGTGCTTTAAAACACACTGACGCCCAGCCGCTACCCCAGGTCCTCTGAATGGGAATGTGTAGGGGGCGGGGCTCACCTGCGCCGACACTGAAGCACCTGTCAGCGCTCCTCTCCGGGGCTTGGTAAACACCGAACCCTGGCGGTGAGTATGGTCACAACCCGTTTTCCTCTGGCAGCTCTTGCTGAGGCTCCCCTCATCCCCCTCCACCCCGGAGTCTCCCTTGGCACCGGGAGAAACAGCCAGACCAGGCCAGCGATGCCCACTTTTTCTGAGTCTCTTCACCTCTCACCACTGTATGGAGAGTACTGCATCCCGTCACCGTTTAAAAAGCGATAGAGATTGGGCAGAGGGTCTGTGAAGCTTGTTAGAATCATTAGAATCCACAGGAATGTTGCAGAAACCAGGCCTGGGAACCTGATCTAGATCAGAGTGCAGATTTTCAACTCCTGGGTTTTATACCAATCACTCTATCAAAAGAGATATAGACTTTTTTTTTTTTTCTGGGAAAGACAGATTTACACATCGATGAGCAAAGTATTAATTGGGAAGAATAACAAATATTTCCAGCTAGACAGTGCTTGATGGGTAGTCTGCAGATATACTTAATAAATAGCAGGGTCACTGAAAAAGAGTGATTGCTAGGAAAAATCCTAAATTCCTTTTGGTTCACATGTTCACCTCAACAGAGGAAACGCACCACTGACCCCCTGATTAAGGACAATGGATTCAGAGCATCACTTTATGAGCCCTTAAAGTTTTTATTTTATTTTATTAATTCTGTACTTATGTGTGACTTTTCCTTCTCTCCCCCCTAATTTCAGAGCTTTCTTCTGGTTGATATCTTTACTGGTTTCCTCCCTTGTCTGGTTCGTGGCAAGAACCGTTACTGGCAACAGAGATGGACCAATAGAGAAATACCTGCTGATCTTTGGAGTGTTGATCTCAGTTCTCATCCAAGAAATATTTCGGTTTGCATATTACAAACTTTTAAAGTAGGTTAAACATTTGTTTACCTTTTCCCCCAGTTAATTTGGATTATGATTTAGTAATTTGAAACATTAATGCTGTGTGGTATTTGAAGATCCATGCCTTCCTGCATAGTTTGTAGCCAAAGGATTAGAACATTTCTAACCTGAAAATATTGAGTATTTTACCTTGTGGATACTCCTTCCTTCATTCACTCATTTAAAAAATATTTTTCTGAGAATTTACTCAATGCCAGGCACTGGGAATAATGCATCATGATTAAAAGACAGTATCTGTCCTCGAGGAAGTTGTATTATAGTGGAAAGAGACAGGCTACAAATGAATAAGAAAGTTCATTGTATATTAGAAGATAACTGCTATGAAGAAAAATAACAAAAACTGCTTCATTTTAGAATTTATACCAGCTTTCCTTTGCCACCAACTAAAATAAGTAATTCTTATAGAGATTATGCCTACCATTATTTTGATTGTATTAGAGAAAATAAGGGTTCATTTTGTGATAGTTCATGTGATTTCATATCTATAATAGAAAAACACATTTGGAAGGGAAAAAAAAGTTCCTTTAGGGAACTTTAGGCCAGAAAGTAGGTCATCTAGGATTCATGAGGCCCTCACATGAAACCACTGATTTGAAACACAGCTTGACTTAGAATCATGTTTCCTTTCAGGCAGTCATGAGACTGGCTTTGATTATGTAGTAAGATTTAGTAGAACGATAAATATACTCTTCCTCTTTTGGCACATGAGATAGTTAAGCTACTCCATGAATTTTATGGATGTAATCAAGACAGAACATCAACAATATCTCTTATAATAACTTCTGATAATTTGTTCTTGCCAATATGCTAAGCTTTCAATATTGTTTACTTGTTGCTTTAAATAACAGATATTGAAATTTAATAATGAAGCAATTGATATTACAAATTGAAAACCATGAAGCCATTGATTACAAGCAAAAGTCATATCTTAGAAAAGGTTTTTAAATATGAAATTTCCATTAGTTCATGGAACTATTAAAAAGCAACCAACAACTGTCAAAGATAAAATTTAAGTTTCCATAGGAATACATTAATTAATCTCTGGTTGTATGGAGCATTTTTTAAAATCTTTATTGTTCAGATTATTACAATTGTTTCTCTTTTCCCCCCTGCATAGCTCCCCTCCACCAAGTTCCCATCCCACCCTCTGCCCTTACCCCCCCCCGCCCCCACTGTCTTTATCCATAGGTGTACGATTTTTGTCCAGTCTCTTCCCACACCTCCCACATCCCTTTCCCCCTGAGAATTGTCAGTCCACTCCATTTCTATGCCCCTGATTCTATTATATTCACCAGTTTATTATGTTCAACAGATTTTTTATTCACTTGATTTTTAGATTCACTTGCTGGTAGATATGTATTTGTTGTTCATATTTTTTATTTTTACCTTTTTCTTTTTCTTCCTCCTCTTAAAGAATACCTTTCAGCATTTCATATAATACTGGTTTGTCGATGATGAACTTCTTTAGCTTGTTCTTATCTGTGAAGCTCTTTATCTGACCTTAAATTCTGAATGATAGCTTTGCTGGGTAGAGTAATCTTGGTTGTAGGTTCTTGCTATTCATCCCTTTGAATATTTCTTGTCACTCCTATCTGGCCTGCATAATTTCTGTTGAGAAATCAGCTGAAAATCGTATAGGTGCTCCCTTGTAGGTAACTCACTGTTTTTCTCTTGCTACTTTTAATATTCTCTCTTTGTCTTTTGCTCTTTGCATTTTAATTATGATGTGCCTTGATGTGGTCATCTTTGGATTCCTTTTGTTTGGGGCTCTCTGTACTTCCAGGACTTGTAAGTCTATTTCTTTCACCAGGTGGGGAAGTTTTCTGTCATTATTTCTTCAAATAGGTTTTAAATATCTTGCTCTCTCTCCCTTCTTCTATCACCCCCATAATTCTGATGTTAGTATGCTTGTAGCTCTCCCAGAGGCTCCTTACACTATCTTCATATTTTTGGGTTCTTTTTTCTTTTTTATTTTCTGGTTGGGTGTTTTTTGCTTCTTTGTATAATATTTCAAATCTTTGACTTGATTCTTGCAATCCTCTGGTCTTCTGTTGTATCTCTATATATTATTCTTTATTTCAGTCAGTGTATGCTTAATTTCTACTTGTTCCTTTTTCATATCCTTGAGGGTCTCACTAAATTTATCAGCTTTTTATAGAAAATTCTTGAAAAACCTTATAACCATGGTTTTGAACTCTATTTTCAGTCATTTGCGTTCTCCATTTCTTTCATTTGTGACCTAATTCTTTGTCTCCGCATTTTCGCTGCTTCCCTGAGTTGATAGAGTGGCTTTGTGTGCTAGGTCTCCTAAAGGGCCCAGTGGCTCAGTCTCCCCAGTTATCTGAGGTGGACACTCTTGGTGCACCCCTTTGTTGGCTGTGTGCACAGTCTTGTTATAGTTAAGCCTTGATTGTTGTTGGTTTTACTGGAAGAAATTGACCTCCAGGCCAATTGGTTGTGTGGATCAGCTGTGTCTATGATGGGAGAACTTCTGTGCTGGAGACAACCATATGGGGCAAGACTTGCTTCAGTGGGGCTTTGGTGCTCACTGAGTCTGCCTCCTGAGTGTGTCCCTTATGGATCTGAGTAGTTGTAATCTGGATGGCCCCACTCTGACCCCTGGGTACACTGGCTCTTGGATCTCCAAGGAGATGCTAATTTAGCCTCTGCCTGTGCCCACCCAGCAGGAGCTACAGAGAGATCTGCAGATTCCTCTTCTTTGTTTGGGTTTTGGAGGTGCCCAGACGAGGCCCAGCTGTGAAGCAATGCAAACTGCTATGGGGCCTTGGAACTTTTTTTTTTTATATTCTGGGTCTCACTGACTCAGCTGCAGTTTGTTAGCTAAGTTAAGAATTCAAAGGACCAGGCCATTCATCTGCAAAAGCCTCTGCACTCAACTTGGATGAGGGGGAGTCTCAGAGTGGAGCAATCAGCTATGGCTTCCCATCAGCCCTGCCCTAAGAAGCCCCTGGGTCTCAGTGTCCCGTGGTATTCGCTGCAAACCCTCTGAGAAAAAGCCATCTTTGAGTTTTGCCCACTGCCAAACAGTCCAGTTTCTCCCCATATGAATCTGGGTTCCCAGAGTCTCGCCCAGAACTGGAGTTCGGAACAGTTGGGAGCTTTTTGTCTCCCTCCCAATTGAGAAATCCAGCCGGGTACTCAGTTGCCAGCCCTCTCCATGCACGTGCCTCCATACTTCTGCACTTTACTTCCGCAGCTCCTGTGAGTCTCAGTGTGCTGTTCTCTGTCCTAATTGTAGAATTTCCACTCAGGCAGCCTTCCTATGGTTCTGGATGATTTCCACTTTGTCTTTTAGTTATAGTTTTGAAATTGTTGTGCGAGGCAGCAGTCTAGGTGTTTACCTATGCCTCCATCTTGGTTTCTCCGGATTTTTCTCTTAATCTGGAGTATTTTAACAATAGAATATTATTAAGGTAATCAAAATCTCCCTCTTCCTGACCTCTACCCCATTCAAGAAACATACAGTCAAATGAAATCTCTGTCACCTAGTGGTTGTCTCTTTCACAGCTAAATGTTCCTCATTTCTTCACCTATTCCTCGGAAGACTTGTCTGTGGCTTCCAAACCTTTTCCGGTCCCTGTTCTCTTATGTCAGTGGATGTTTCTTTTTGTCAGTGCCTGGAGCTTACCTGAGCTCAGGACCCAGCAGAGCACCCTGTGTGATCACTGTAGTGTGGAGGCCAGTGGCCCTTTCCTCTTTGACTGGGCACCGTTCTCTTAAGAACTCAGCGTCCAAGGCTGCTCTGGGTTTCCTGTCAGCCATATCTTTGGCTCATGTTGGTTTTGCATTTTACATATGATGATTCTAATGTTGAAGCAAAACTTTGAGTAGATTTTCACAGTTTAAGACATGGATTAGGTAACTCTTTAGGGACTTAGGGTATCTTCTTATTTCTTTCACAGTTCCCATCTGAAATGCAACTCTTTTTTTTTTTTTTAATATGTTTTTATTGATTTCAAAGAGAGGAAGGGAGAGGGAGAGAGAGATAGAAACATCAATGATGAGAGAGAATCATTGATTGGCTGCCTCCTGCATGCCCCACACTAGGGATCGATCCCATAACCTGGGCATGTGCCCTGACCAGGAATCAAACTGTGACTTCCTGGTTCATAGGTAAACACTTCAACCAGTGAGCCACACCAGCCAGGCTGACATGCAACTCTTTATTGGTACTAAGGGCTACCCACTGAACATTGGTTGACATTTTTAATGAGGATAGTGAGGGAATGGGGTTACATGCAGAAGGAATTATGGTTGTCAATCTGCATGCTCTTATGCCATCAAGTTCAGAGAAGCCTTTTGGCCTTCCAGAAAAAGCATGTTTACTGCTCCAGAAGGACCTTTGGAAATTTGCAAGTAAGATATTAGAACAAATACGTATTAACAGGAGCCTTTGTAATGCATCTTTAGCAAGCCTTTGGAATTTTGTACAGTATCTTCCTAGAAGATTCTAGAAATGTTGGATATTATATATAGTTATGTATTAAAACAAGTTTGAGAATTATTATGATATTTGATTCATGGCTAACATTTATATAGATGCATTTAAATTCTTCTCTTATGCTACACTGTCTTCAAATATAGGAACTTTGGCTTAATCAATATTTTAAGTATTCCATTGCCAACGTGCATTTTGAACATTCAAGTTTAAAGTTCGCACCGGTATATTTTTTTCCATTTATGGTTTTGAATCAAAATATTTATCATTGCAGTCTACCTCAGTTTATTTATGGTCAGGTCTTCAGATCAGTACTTTCTCTTGAGTGAATGAATTCTAACTTTCACCCTGGCAAAGAGTTGCACTGTAAAAACTGGCTACAAGTAGCAGCACTTTCTATCTTAATTTCTTTTTTAAAATCCAAGTTATAGTCCTGGACATTGCCTAAAACCTTCATTCGAATTTTTCTTGGCTTGGATTGAAGCTTTTGTAGTTTATTTCAATTTTGTCTTATAATGCTAATACCACAAATATTTGGCAATTTGACAAAATTTTTCATTTATAAGATAAGACAATCATTGCTATAATTTTTTAAAAGGCATATTTTTTAAAATTTATACAATAATGTATTTAATTTATATGCATATTCCTTTGTACTGTCCCTTTCTTACACACACACACACACACACACACACACACACACACACAGAATCAAAACAAAGGAGAATGGTGGAATGATTTATCAGTACTTTTTCAAAGTTTATATTTTAAAAATCAGGGCTTTTTCTTTTTTGTTCTTGGAAACTATAACAAATGAAAACAAAGAATTTCCACTTCAGTATGATGGTCATAAGAACATTGTCCCTTACTTACATCATCAGTCATGTGTTTTGTCGGGAACATGGAAACGGGTGGTGCTTTGTACTTTCTCACTTCCCACTCTTAACATGGAGAACTATCAGTGCCACAGACCTTTCCTCCCACAAACTTGTAATATAGAATGAGGAAGTTTATTAACTTCTGAGTTTATGTATTTAATATATTTGGGGTAGTACTTTGCTATTCCAGATAGCAAAAATCTTTTATTCATTACTGAGCAACTTATATAAAACAAAAATCCTCCAAAATTTATTGATTCTTTTATACCATTATATTCATTTGTTGATGGAGAGTATTACTGCTATGTTTCTAAGCTTTAATTGGCCTTTAACAACATTCCTGTGACACGTAAGTTTGTTGTTTAGGAAACCTCGACATTGTAGTTGGTTACTGCTGCGGAGAAAGAGGTTGACAGTCATTGGCTCGTGATCCTACCAAATGGTGGTTTGGGCAAATGGTTTCTTTTGAGCCTAGAAAAACAAAAGACCCTTTTTCATTCTGCTTATTACTATTTTGGTTGCCATCTGCATGGCCTTTAATTTAATGATATTTATACTAAATATAACTTAACTATCCTTAAATCAGGATCATTGTTGCAGAGATTCTAGCCAACAAGGGTTATTAATAGTGACCATAGAGGAACTGACCAGCCACACCTTGCTTCCTAGCACATCAGTGTGGCAGCAGGGAAAGTCTGTGAATTGTGCACAACAGAAGCACAGATGTGATCACTCTAAGGATTGTTTCTTATTAAGCAGTTTTCTAATCTTTCAGGTATTCATTTAGTTTCTTTTTTGATGGTAGCTTTCTATTCTCCCCTGATTATTTTCCCCCTGAAGCCTGTTTATGGGTGGGGGAGATATGAATCACATATATAAATATTTTAGAATCAGACAATCAAGTGATTAAATACCCATATAGGGATCTAGACCATCATTATTGTAGATTTAAGAAAAAAGAAGAGAGAGTGATTACCAGTCATTCGTAAAGATAGTTTTTTTGAGAAATTCCTGCTTGAACTAGACTGTGAAGGTTGAATACAGTTGAAGTTCTAAAGAGTGGAAGCTAGAAGGGAGGGTGGCAGAATAAGTATAGCCAGGTGGAAGATATAACAAAGTACCAACACAGTGGGATTGAAGATATATCTCTCTGGGAAAAGGAAAAAGTTCAGTGACAGCCCTGGATGGTGTGGCTCAGTTGGTTGAACATCCTCCTGTGCACTAAGTCACTGGTTCCAATTACTGCTTCAGGGCACATGTCTGGATATCCAGCTTGCTTACCAGTAGAGAGTGTGCAGGAGGCAGCTGATCAATGATTCTCTCTCACTGATATTTCTCTCTCCCTCTCCCTCTTTTTCTTAAAAAAAAGTTAATAAAAAACATTTAAAAAGTTCAGAGTGGCAAATGCCATAGGAGATATATATATATATATATATATATATATATATATATATATATATATATTCTCAAATTACATTGCTTAATAGAATCATATAGATTTCAAGTGTACATTTCTATGATTCAAGATCTGTATATCACTATGTGTGTCCACCACCCAAAGTCAAATCATTTTCTGTCACCAAATCATTAGTCCCCCTTAACCTCCTGCCCCCCTTCAGCCCCTTTCCTCTGGCAGCTACCACAGCGCTATTTGTGTCCACGAGTTTCAGTTTTATATCCCACATATGAATGAAATTGTACGGTTCTTAGCTTTCTCTGAATGACTTATTTCACTTAGCATACTATTCTCAAGGTCTGTCTAAGCTGTCACAAATGGCAGTATTTCATCTTTTCTTATGGCTGAGTAGTATTCCATTGTGCAATGTACCACATCTTCTTCATCCTATCATCTGTCATCTATCGAAGGACACTTCGACATGTCTTGGCCACCATGAATAATGCTGTGATGAAGTTAGGGGTGCATATATCTTTGTGAATACATGTTTTCGAGTTTTTCGGGTATATACCCAGGAGAGGGATTGCTAAGTCATATGGTTACTCTACTCTTAATTTTTTGAGGAATCACCAGACTATTTTCCATGGTGGCTGTACCAGTTTACACTGCTCACTCCCTGTTCCTCCCAGCCAAAGGAATTGCTGGCTACTACGGGTTTGGGTTTCCTCCCCTCTTTTGGCCAAGCGGGCTGGCGCAGGGAGCTCCCCACTGCAGGTGCCTCCATCTGATCTGAGCGCGCCTCCCCTCTCGCCTTCCCATCAGTTCCCATTTGCTCACCTTTACCTGCTTCAGTGTGTGGATCTTGCAGGCATGCCTCTGTGTTGAGCAGGAAGGCCTTTGTTGAGTTATAGTCAATCGACTTGTTAAAGTTTTAGGGGGAAGAGACCAAGATCCTCTCTCACTTCGCCGGTCCTCTGATCACCATGGGATATTGAACTAAGTATTTGCCAATCTCAGGAAGTAGTCATAAGTATTGCTTTTTTTCCTGATGTCTTGTTTACTTATGTTTTTCTTATTTTCCTCTTTTATGTGAAAATTAGATAAAATGTAAAAATGGGTTGGAAATTTTTGGTTGGTTTTAGGTAATTGCAAAATTTAGAAAAATATATATTTTATTGATTTTTTACAGAGAGGAAGAGAGAGGGATAGAGAGTTAGAAACATCGATGAGAGAGAAACATAGGTCAGCTGCCTCCTGCACACCCCCACTGAGGATGTGCCCACAACCTAGGTACATGCCCGTGGTTGTACTGTTACCTTCTCTGGGTGGTTACCATGACTCTAGCTGTACTAGGAGGACTCATCATATTGCTATAGTTAATACCTCTGCATATTTTTTAGAATTATGTTGTGTGTGTTTTTTGGGGGGGTGGGAGCTTGTTAATCCTCACATGAGGTTATTTTTTCCATTGCTTTTCAGAGAGAGTGAAAGGGGGGCGGAGAGAGAGACACACAGACAGACAGACAGACATAGATGTAAGAGAGATACATCGACTGGTTGCATTCTGTACATGCCCTGATTGGGTGGGGAGCAAACGGCAACCCAAGTATATGCCCTTGACCAGGAATCGAACCCGCAGCATTTGGAATCGAACCTGGGACCCTTCAGTCCGCAGGCTGGTGCTCTATCCATTGAGCCAAACTGGTTAGGGTGGTAATTGCAAATTTGCTGGGTTTTTGTTTATTTTTTTATTTATTTTTTTTCTTGGAATTTTATTTTTTTATTATTATTTTTTAATCACTCTTTATTGTTCATATTATTACAAAGGTTCCTCATTTCTTCCCCCCTCCACCAGGTTCCCACCCCACCCTCCGCCCCCTCCTGATCCCCTATTGTCCTCATCCATAGGTGCACAGTTTATGTTCAGTCTCTTCCTCCCTCCCTTTCCCCAATAGTAAATCCCTTTTCAGATAGTAAATCAGTTACTTAGCATTTTCTCATATCAATAATACCTCCACATGCCCAACGATACACTTCACACAAAAGACATTTCCCAATAGGTCCACCAGCCTCATCCAGGCCCCACCCAATGCACTCACAGATCAACATCCCAGCCCTATACTAACTCAACACATCCAGATCTAAGCCTTCATCACTTGATTCAGCAGACCCTCAAGTTCCCGTGAAAGTTTCCAGCCATGTCTGAGAGGCAGCAGTGGGGCAGGGGCAGGCGAGGAGCGAGCTGTTCCGGGCCTGGCTGCTCTGGGCCTGGCCTCTGTTGCTCTTGTTCGTTCCACAACCAGCTGCTCCGGGTCTGGTCACTGCCACTCCCGACCTAGTTGCTTTGGACTTGGCTGCTGCTGCTCCGAGCCTGGCCACACCCGACCCGGCTGCTCTGGGCCCGGCTGCTCCGGGCCCTGCCGCTCCGGGCCTGGCCACTCCCAGCCTGGCAGGTGCTGCTCCAGGCCTGGCCGCACCCGACCCGGCTGCTCCAGGCCTGGCCGCTTGCTGGGTTTTTGTTTAAATGGATTTTGGATTTAGAGTATAGCTTTATCTAAAGCCTTATTAAGTGTCTGGATTTTGAAGTATCTCGTGTATTTTCCTGATATACTACTTTTTCTTTTAAAAACATCATCTGTGTGGTTTCATTTTAGAAAAGCCAATGAGGGTTTGAAGACAATTAATCCAGATGAACCAGGGCCTTCCATGCGCCTGCTGGCCTATGGTAAGTTGGAATTGCATGGTGTTTTAAGAAAGAAAGAAAATTTGGCATGAAAGCCATTTTTGTCCTTTATATCTTTGTGGATACAATATTTTATTGCTGTCTGGTCTCTTGGTGTATATTGTTTATTTTTCTAGCTTTTCAGGGCCCTTATGTAAAGGGGGAAATGATTGCAGGTGACGTTTATCTGTGTGTTCATTACATATTAGCCAGGTTTGGGAAAGTTAAGTGTTGAACACTCCAGTTAACTAACAATTTCTAAATGAGGTACTGCTACCTTCTCTGAGTGGTTACCATGACTCTAGCTGTACTAGGAAGACTCATCATATTGCTATAGTTAATACCTCTGTATATTTTTTAGAATTGTGTGTGTATGTGTGTGTGTGTGTGTGTGTGTGTGTGTGTGTGTTTTGTTGGGGGGGGGAGCTTGTTAATCCTCACATGAGGATATTTTTTCCATTGCTTTTCAGAGAGAGTGAAAGGGGGGGCAGAGAGAGAGAGAAACACAGATGTGAGAGAGATAACATTGACAGACTGCGTACTGCACACACCCTGATTGGGGTGGGGAGCAAACAGCAACCCAGGTTTATGCCCTTGACCAGGAATCGAACCCGTAGCCTTTGGTGCTCTGGTTGATGTTTTAACCTCTGAGCTACACTAGCCAGGGCTAGAATTATGTTTTCAAAATTGGATCTAGGGTCTGTAAGTTGAATCAGCCAGTTTGGCCCAGGGATCAGCTCTTATACTGCAGTCACACTTCAAGGACAGTTCCTAGTTCTAAGCCATCAAACTTAGGCTCTGTTATAAACTAAAGCCCGAGATTCAGCATCGTATCCTTCCCATTTCACCTATTGCTTCTGTGTAGATCTTCTTCATTTCTCTACTACTTCCCACTCTTCATTCCCTTTCCTCTTCTCACTCGATTCATCATTTAGCCAAGCACCTGCCTCTTCCGAGCCAGCTTTCCACTGTTTCCCCAATAGCATGTGCACCTTTCCCCCTTCCACAAAATAGTATGTCCCAGTCCTTGGAATTCTGAAGACAAATCACAGTGTGAAAGGGTTTAACAATATTTTTCTTCCTCTTTAGTTTCTGGCCTGGGCTTTGGAATCATGAGTGGAGTATTTTCCTTTGTGAACATCCTGTCTGACTCCCTGGGTCCAGGCACAGTGGGCATTCATGGAGACTCTCCCTACTTCTTCCTGTATTCAGGTATGTGCCTGGTAGCCGTGAATGTTTAAGCTTCTGGTCTAACTGATCATCCTGTTAGAGTTCTCTGGCTTAGGAATTCAAGTGAATAGAAATTTATGTTATATTTTCTAAAGGCTAAATACTGTTAGACATCACAAAGTAAAGGATAGGAAATTAAAAACTTTGAGAGGAAGAGATCACACAAAGAATTTGTATGCATACACTCATAATCCATGGGCACAGGCAACAGGGCGGTGAAGGCCTGGGACAGGCTAGAAATAGAACATTAGCAGAGAATGAGAGTCCCTTGTTCCTCACCACTCCTTCCTCGCAGGTAACCTGATTCTGAATTATTAATTTCCTAATTTAATCAGGTTTGAAAGTTTAACATGTACACATGTTTTGTTTAGAAAGTTTTATCTTCATGTATGTATCTGAAAGAAAGGTAATGTTGTGTTTTCCTTTTTTTAGGAAAACAACATTTCCAACATTTAAAAATAAATCATTTTTAAAATTAGAAATTGAGAGGAAAAATGATAATAGGTGAGTTGACTTTTAAAACTCACAGATGCAGTATAAAAGGACCAACTCATTTCAAAGAGCTTTTTTATCCACAAGAAAAAAATTGTCAGCATGATGCAGTGATCACATTTGAGAGTTGGTAATATACACAATTAACATAAAATATCTCCTTAAATTTCACAAGAAGAATCTTTTAAAAGTACTTTAAAAAAAAACAACAACTCACCGTATGTTTTTTTTATCTGCACAAGTTATATCATTGAAATAACATTTCACACATTCTTCAAATAAATAATTATTTATTGTCTTCCCTGAGGTAATTTCTATCCTCAAGGAAGTTACCTTTATAAGAAGAATAAGACTAAAAAAATGATTAGGCACTTTAGTACAGTTTAGTAATAGAAAAGATATACAGAGGTATGACCAAATTTTAAAAAATATTGCTGCAGAAGTTTAGAGACATTCTGCATGTTGTTGTGACCCTCAAATCCACTGGACTCTTGTTCACCATTTCGATTCAGGCCTGGGCATCCCCTATCTTGATCACTATCATCAACCTCCACTTTCCATGTGAATCTATCCTGTATGCAGCCACCAAACTATAGAAAAATGTGTAATGGTTTCCCAAGGTCTGCAGGATAAAGTCAAGGCCCTGTGCATCTGACTACATGATGACGCTGGGAAAGTGGGTTAATGGGCCATACTTATTTAGTGGTGCTTCCAACATAGCAAACGATCTTTTTAAGAACATTCCGTAATTAGAATATTTTTAATGATTATAGTACCGAGTGCCAGTTTCTTAGAGTAAATGTAATATTAAGAGCTAAAGTATGTTAGATTCTAATATACTAGTAAAAGAACAAAACATAATCAGGAGAGGGTGTTACTGTACCAGTTTTCTATATTTTCTTAAATTGGCCTGTTATAATGCTACATCAACAACCTTTGGATATGAAATAGTGTTCTTCTGCCTCCTTTTCTCACTAGAGGGTGCTAATTCACTTTAGTGAGCTAGGCTGTTTTCCTGGGACTAGCTTTCAGTAATTCTTCTGGGAGAAGGTAAAAGAAACATATGCTAGTAATTTGAGGATTGTATTTGTAATTTCTATAAATTCACAGAAATTTTTAAAGAAAAGAAAATATTTGGCTGGTTGGCCTGGCTCAGTGGTTGAGTGTTGACTTATGAATTAGGAGGTCACGATTTGATTCTTGGTGAGAACACATACACGAGTTGCAGTTTCGATCCCCAGTATGGGGAGCAGACAATCAATGATTCTCTCTAATCATTAATGTTTCTATCTCTCTCCCCTCTCCCTTCCTCTCTGAAATCAATGAAGATATATATTTTTTTTAAAAAAGAAAATATTTTAATGTCTAAGTTTATGGTGGCAGGCTGACCTGCTGTGAATATGGACCTATAGAGTGAAAGAACAGCTGTTACTTTATCATGTGCAAGTTTCTTATTTATTATAACATTGTTCTTAATAGCATAAATTTTGAGTTATACATTTAAGAAATTGCCTTTTATTGTATTTTAAAAGAACTCCTATTTTTTTTAATATATTTTTTTTTATTTTTTTTATACAGAGAGGAAGGGAGAGAGATAGAGAGTTAGAAACATCTATGAGAGAGAGTCATCGATCATCTGCCTCTTGCATACCCCCTACTGGGGATATGCCCGCAACCAAGGTACATGCCCTTGACCGGAATCGAACCCAGGACCCTTCAGTCCCCAAGCCGACGCTCTATCCACTGAGCCAAACCTGTCCCGGCAAATAACTCCTAATTTGTATATTTTTGTATTTGTTATTTATGATTGCCATGATTACCATTTATTTAGGCCTGAGCTCATTTTGAATTTTTCAGTTAAATCTATAAATTTATATGTTATTTAACATATTCCCATATAAATAAGGAATATAGGCTCCATTAATTAGTATACTTACATTAGTGTAAGATATAGATTACATGATAGCTGTATGTGCATAGGTTTTCATGTAATAGGTAGGTATAGTTTATTAATAGCACATGCATGTATAAGTTTTTTCTTTCATTTGTAATTGTGTAGTAGGCTAGCATTAACTTGGTAAAGCTGTATAGAGGCAAAAGTATGGGAATCTGAGTCCTAAGCTCAAGTCTTATCCTGCTCATTAATTTCATATTCTGAACAAGTCCATTTGGTCATTTCAAAAATAATTATTAAGCACTTTTATTCAATAGGAGTTATACCAAGCTATGAAAAGACAGCCCAGTAAATGTAGCAGGGAATAAGGACAACCAGCTAATTAAAGTGTGATTAAACACTATGATAAGAAAGTTCTATAAGCACACAGAACACAGGCTCTAACCCATGCTCAGATGCTATTGTACTTCGCCTTTGTAGTACTGACGGCAGTTGTATTAATTGGTCAACTGTGGAGTCATTTTTTTAGTTCTTTCTCTCTAACCAGATGCTAAGGACTATCTGTCTTATTCACTGCAATATCCTCAGCACCTTGTGGAATATTTTGTTTTTAGGTAGATCCATAAATATTTATTTTATTCTTTAACTTTATTTTTAAAATATTTTTATTGATTTCAGAGGGGAAGGAAGAGGGAGAGAGATAGAAACATCAGTGATGGGAGAGAATAATTGATCCGCTGCCTCCTGCATGCCTCACACTGAGGATCGAGTCTACAACCTGAATATGTACCCTTGGCTGGAATCGAACCTGGAACCCTTTAGTCCACAGGCCAGCTCTCTATTCACTGAGCCAAACCAGCTAGGACTATCTTTACTGTTGAAAGTATTACAGATGTCCCCTTTTTTTCTCCATTGATTCCTTCTAGCCCATATCTGCTCCCCTCCCAGGTCTTCACCCACTAGGCACAGCTTATGGAGGAAATGGTATTTGAGTAGAATTAATGGATGAATACAGTCATGCACTGGGGATTATGTTTTAAGAAATGAGTCGCTAGGGAGTTTTGTCCTTGTGTGAATGTCACTGACTGTACTTACACAAACCTAGAGGATGTAGCCTGCTGCACACCTACACTATATGGAATAGCCTATTGCCCTTTGGCTACAAGCCTGTACAGCATGTTACTGTACAAAACAGCAAGAGATTAAATCAAGCACAAGAGAAAATGATGCAATCAGGTGACACGGTAGACACGAGAGGCATGAGGCTGCTGCCGGCGCAACATGGCACAGAAAGATCACCGGCCTTTCTGGAGAGAAATCAATATGGTCTGACCACGTGTGGAATGTTGAGTTTAGTTCTGAGCATTGTATTTAACAGGTATACTGAAGAACTAAAATTGGTACAGAACATTGTCAGTACAGTGAACAATCTGGAAGGTGTTTCTTACGGGGTATGATTGAAGGAAGGAGAAATATTGAGCTTGAAGAAAAATGAAAGCATGAGGAATGTGGGAGATTCCATTTTTGTTCCAATTTGTCATTTCTCTATAACAGAATTATACAGCCACATCTTTGCCTGGCCTCATGGTAGCCAGAATGTATTTCCCTGACCCTGACTTTGAGCTCATGCATGTGTCTTGTATTGGCCGATTAGTGGAAGTGATGTAAGTCAGAATCTTAAAAAGCACTTGTACGTTGGCCTGCCCTCTGTTTGAGCCTGGGTCCCCGGGATCTGGCCTAGAACTGGGGTTCAGAGCAGTCGGGTAACTGGGGCCCAGCACAGTCCGGAGCTTTTGTCTCCTTCCCGCTAGGGAACGCCAGCCAGGCACTCAGCCTCCCCCTCTTCTCTGGCTCTGTCCTTTCTGTGTGCGCCGTGTGTCTCCGTACCTTAGGCTTTTACAGCTCCTCTGCTTTTCCTTCTGGTTTTCTCTTTCCTTCTCATTGTAGAATTTTCAGTCAGTCGACTTTCCTGTAGCTCTGGGCAATGTCCATTTTATATTTTAGTTGTATTTTATTGAAATTGTTGTGTGCGGCCGAGACCGGTTTGGCTCAATGGATAGAGCGTCGGCTTGGGGACTGAAGGGTCCCGGGTTTGATTCCGGTCAAGGGCATGTACCTTGGCTGCGGGCATATCCCCAGTGGGGGGTGTGCAGGAGGCAGCTGATCGATGACTCTCTCTTGTCGATGTTTCTAACTATCTCTCTCCCTTCCTCTCTGTACAAAATCAATAAAATATATTAAAAAAAAAAAAAGAAAAGAAATTGTTGTGTGCGGCTGCGGTTAGGTGTTTACCTGGACGCAGCCATCTTGGATCCTCCCTCCAGATTTTTATTTTATTTTTTATTGAGTTGATTGGTGTGACATGGGTTCACAAAACCATAGAGGTCTCAAATCTACAACTCAACAAACTTCATCTGCACACTGCATCATATGCCCATTACCCAAAGCAAAGTCTCTTTCTATCCCCATTTATCGCCCCTTTGCACACCTCTACCTACCTCCAACCCATTTTCCCTCTGGCTGTCACCACACTGTTGTGTGTATCTTTGTGTTACATGTATATTTTTTTAAAATCCCTTCACTTTCTTTCATCCAG